TGATCATATTGGAGGCATAATGGAGATGATCTGGTTAATTACCAGGAGATTTATAAAATATTTACGTGTGTGCACACGCATGTAATTCACTTTCTCCGATGCTCGGGGACGGCGACATCATGGCACTCAAGGCCGGCCTCTGTGGGCCATTCCTCTGCCCTTTCTCCGTGGGAAACTCGGCCCGGCTCCGGAGGCTTTCGTCTGGCCGCGCTGGCCCGCAGCTTTCCGGGTCGCCCCACTCCAGCCAGGTCGCTCTGCGCCGCTCCGACCGGGATGCGGGCGGTGTACAGCGGCCCTCGATCTCTGCCCTCCGAAGCTCCCTGGCGCTTCCTTCCAGGATCTCCCTGGAGTCACCCGCCGCCACTCTAATCGCCAGCCTGATTGGGCTCCTTCAGCGGTGCACGATCAGCGGCCGCCGGTCGGGCAGCCCCGCACTCTCAGGACGCACTCAGCCTGGGACTTTGGTCTGGGGTCACCAGGGTAGTCCCCGGACCTGAGAGGTCCCAGCTTGGCGCATCAGGAGCACGCAGGCCCGGCACCCAGGGGTGGGGCCTGGGGGACCGTGGGTTGCTGCTGCCGACACCACACCATTTGGGGAACTGGGGTCCACCTGTGAGGGGGTTCCAGCAGCGGGTCTCAGCCTCTTTCCCCGAACTGTCTAATGCTCCCCTCGCTGTCACCCAGTGAAAGGCATCCAAGAGTCTGCAGAGTCCTAAACAGTGTTTACTTTGACTCTTAAATCAGGGCGCACTCTTTGGGTCTGAGGGCCTGATTGAGGTCCGTGTGATACATCCCGGGTCAGGCCACCCAACCCCAACACTTAGCCACTGCACCGCTCAGGAGCCCCGCCATCCCTAGAGCAAAGAATGGCCATTTTGAAAGGCCGGAGGCCAGGGCAGAGGCGCCTCTGCGCATCTCCCTGACTGGTCTGCACTGCCAGGTACTGGCGCCAGAGGCCATTTCCAAAGACTGCTCCAGAGGGAATCCATCCTCTCATGGACCTCCCCTTCTGTGCCAGAGACCCTGGGAAGGCAGAGCCTCAAAAGCAATGGAAAATTATTCCGTAAGCAATGAAGTTGTAATGAGGACGCCCTTGGGTTTGTCTAATCTCGTCCTAAGTAAAAAGCTCCATGCAACAGTGCTGAAGGGTTGGGAAGAGGAAAAGGAGACCTGATCTTCCAAGCAGGGATAGCAGTTTCCTCTCACTTGGAAAACGGCACAAAACAAACAAGTAAACCTCTCATTAAGTTTTAAAAACATTAAAAATCAACTTGGCTCAAAGGTGCATTGTTAGCCAACTGCCCCCAACCACTTTACCTCCCCCACTCCACGGGGAGGCCTGTTCTACGCCCTCTGGTGCCAAGTCCTACGAAAATGCTCTGCATAAACACCCAAAGTCCCATGCTAGCCCTGGGCAGGGGTGCACCCAGGGTCCTGACTTCCCTATTTGGGAGTCAGGACTTTGCAGAGCTTCACACTGTGTCGCAAGGCACACAGACTCCCAGACCTGGCCCTGGAGGTCCACCGGCAGAGCTGGGATCCCACCGCAGCGACCCCTAGGTCTGTCTGACTGAAGGTTTTGGCTCTGCCTGTGGCAGGATAGAGATGCAGCAGCTACAGAACAGGTCTTCTCTAGCCAGGAGCAGCCTCCTATGAGGGTCCCTGCCTGAGTCACCCTTCAGGAGCTAGGGACAGCATCTGAGGGTCATGAAGCTGATCTCCCTATTTCCAATCCAGCACAGCACTGCGGATACTGGTTTTCAACAGTTGCCCCACAGAATAGCCCCCAAATCCTCCCACCTGCTGCACGGGCTGGAAGCACCAGCAGATCCTGGCTTCCCTCTTCTCTGCTCCATGCTCCTCCTTGCTTCTCTGCTCCTCCTTCCCTGTTCTCTCTCCCAGAGAGACTGAACTGGCTGACTTCCTTGGGGGAAGATCTGAACCCCTTTTAAAGGTATTCAAGTTAGGCCAATGGCTACCAGACACTGTGTTCTCCTAGTTTGGACACCAGAGGCCACCAAGCTCTGGGGCTTGGTACACTATTCCATGCTATGGTGTGTGTGTGTGTGTGTGTTTGGGGGGGGTGTCCTGAGCCTGCTGAGCCAGGAGGTTTTTCTGCTCATCTCCCAGCCCCCTCTCCAATTAGAGAATTTGAAGGCAATTTTCTTTCCCTTTATTTCCCTATTTCTCTCTCTGTGGCTAGGTGCAAAGAGAAATAAGAGAGCCCACAAGGTTCTGATGGCACCTCCTGGAAATGGATTGAAGCTCAGAGGTCTGGGGTGCAGCCCATCTCTGATTCTTGGGCAGAAAGTGGTCCACAATCAACACTTCAGCACCTTTCTCAGGAAATCCCTGGGTGCAAATCTGCAGACCTTGCCAAGCAGTGCTAGATGGTGTTCCCAGGGAACATTTCAAGCAGGGCCCAGCCAAGGTCTCCCACTTACCTTGCTGATGTCTTCAAGAGTTTACCTGCTTTGGATGCCCAATGTAGATGATACACCCATAGCATAGAATGGTGGCTCTGTCAGACTGGTTGAGGGTCAGGACAAAGCCCCCTATTGCTCCTTTCCAGTTCCCTCCCTTGAAGGTTATAATGGTTAGAAGTGTGGCAACCTGACACCAGCAACCAGGGTGGGAAGCTGTGATGAGCAGGTAGGAAGAAGGTAATCAATCCATGCAGTCAAATCCTAGCACTGGGAAGTGTTTCTGGACTTACATTCCACCTCATTCTCCAGGAGGGCTTATCTCACCTGTATTTAACTGTGGCCTTGAAATGTGACACTGAGGCTTTGCTAAACCAGAACAGTGGTATAGCTGGCCCATTTCTCACAGAATGATTCATCTGTATCCTTCGGATTTGCTTTGGGTATGGGAATGGGGAATGGGAATAAGAGATCTAGCTCTGAGTTGGAAGTGAGGGGATGGACTGGTGATTAGGAGGAACCTGCAGTTAAGGACTTCCCAGAGCTGCAGAACCCAGTGCCAACTGCTGGCCACCCAGAATCCGGTGCTAGAGGTAGGCCTGGAGGTGTCTGAAGTGTGTAGGGACAGGTTGTGTGTGGGAGGGTGGGGTGGGGGGAGCTGAACAGGAAGACCTAACTCAGAGCAGAAAAATTATGCCTGATTTTGGAGCGGGTAATTAGTAATTACTATTATGGGCCTTATTGTGTCTAATTATAGGCGGTAGCTTAGTGTTCTCAGGTCCGGGAAATGGAGCCTTCCTGAGGCTGTAGAATTCCCGGGGGCCTGGAGGCACTGCACATCTCATAAGTCTCCAGGGGGAGGAGGAGCTGGGGGTCGGACCTGAGTACGGGGTCCTGGGGCTCTGCTAACCAACAATACATAGAGGATGGGCGGGGTCTTGGGGCTAGATTCATCCGGCAGCCCCCAGCTGCCTAAGCCTAGGCCCAGTCCTCCCGAGTAACAAGTGAAACTCGTGCGGGATCCAGCATGCAGCAACCTGGGGGTGGGGGCGGGAGTGCACTCCGAATCTTGCCGCCTTGCAGAGAGTGGAGCGCAAAGTGGCCCCAGGAACAGGATTTGGTACCTGGACACTCTTGGTCCCGCGGCACTTGGACCAAAGCCATCGAGAATAGCTCGAAAGTGACCTGCCCGAGGGGCCTTCCATGGCACGCGGAGGCGAGGAGGACCCTGCATTCAGCTTCTAGCGGCGCAGCCAGGCCAGGAGACCCACAGCCACTCCCAAGCTTGCTGCGGCCGGCTGGGTCGGCTTGTCTCTTCCAGCGAGTCTGAGAATAGAAAGGGAAGGCGGAGAGAAAAGGAAGATGTGGGTCCAGGGGCCAGGGGACTGCCCTGTCTCCGGGCTGGCCGCGGTGCCACCTCGGGTCCGAGCGCTCCTCACAAGTTTACTTCCTGCCTCTCAAACCTAGGAAACAAACCTGGGCGTCCAGTGCGCGCTGGCTTCCCAGGACAGGAGAGAGATGGGGGATGCTTCCTTCTGACTGCAGTGGTGCTTTCTTGGTGAAGAAAAGGCCCCTCCCCTCCTCTCCTTACCCCTCCCCTCCTCCCTGCAGAACCCAGCGCTGCGGACTGCATCTTTCCCCTAAGCAGGGACTTCTCAGCTGGATTACTCCTTCTCAAAGTTTTCACATTTGGAAAAGCCCGCAGAGCTCGGCCACTCCCTCTTTTCCAAGTACAACGAGATTAAATATTGATCGATGATCCGCTGCTACCTAGTACGGCCACTGGGACGCCGCGTCTTGCATGGAGGTGTCTCGTCACGCGGGTTTACTGGCGCACGGAGGACTCCCGGGTGCACTTCTACCAAAGATGTCCCGGGGAGGAAAGGCAGCGCCAGTCTCTGAGAGAGGCCGCTGGAGGTTGGCTGTCACCCTCGACCGGGCTGAGCACTGCGGGCCTCTGCCCCGCCTCCCTAACGGTAGAAAAGCAGTTGCTGAGTTGTTTTTGTTAAAAAAAAGGGACACACCTCAGCTGCAAAACTGGGTGTCAGACAGCTGTAAACCCATGTCCACAGGTTGTCAGACAGCCTCGGGAGCTGGTCCGGAAGGAGCCTGCAGCCTCCGGACCCGGACCCAGTGGCCCAGCCGCGCGCGCCCACCGCAGGAGGAGGTGGCCCGGCCGGCGCGGGGCACCACGTGCTCGCCGGGAGGGGCGGGAGCGGACAGTGAGGGCGGGCGGGAGGCAGGGAGGGGGCGGGAGGGGAGACAGGGGCGGGGCCTGCGCTCAAGGGGATGCCAATCAAAGCATCAACTTCAAATTGTGTCTGAAAGCCCCGCCGCCGAGCCGAGGACGGCCGCCGCAGTCGGCGCGCGATCGCGGATCCGGGCGCAGCCGGGAGCCGGGCGCCGGAGAGCCGGCCAAGGAGAAGCGACCGGCCCCCACCCTTGGGCCGGCCCGAGCGCGCCGGGGCTGCCGCCCGCTTCCCCCCGCGGCGTCCCCTCCAATCCCCCCGTTGGCCTCCGCCTCCCTCCTCCTCCCTTTAATATTTGCCCGCCGCCGCCGCCGCCAAGTCCGCGGACATGTCCTTCCCGCAGCTGGGCTACCCGCAGTACCTGAGCGCCGCGGGGCCCGGTGCCTACGGCAGTGAGCGTCCAGGGGTGTTGGCGGCTGCCGCCGCGGCCGCGGCCGCCGCCTCGTCGGGCCGGCCCGGGGCGGCGGAGCTGGGAGCCGGAGCTGGCGCGGCCGCCGTCACCTCGGTGCTGGGCATGTACGCCGCGGCCGGACCTTACGCTGGCGCGCCCAACTACAGCGCCTTCCTGCCCTACGCCGCGGATCTCAGCCTCTTCTCGCAGATGGTGAGTGCACCGGCCTCCTGCGCGGCCTCCTGCGCGCCCTCCTAGTCTTCGCCTGCCTCTAACCTCGGACCTGGCGCCTTGGGCAAGGGGAACAAGGGTCCCCGGCGCGCGGGAGGGACAGAGGACGCCTAGACCCGATCCAGGCTAGGAGCGGGAAATGTTTTGCTGGCGGGTTATCAGCGGGCGGAGACCGCGACCCCCAGGGACTTAGGAGGGCAGAGAGTCTGGGCCGGTAACGCCCGGCCATCTCGGCCCAAAGAGGCGGAAGGCCCCAGCCAGGAAGGGTGTCGCGCGCGAGTAGAGGCCGCTGGAGCAGGCCAGGGGTGAGCGGCCCGGCGCTGGAGGTCGGGAGGAAACTCTACCCGCGCGGCCTGGGAGCCAGGACAGGCCCACGGGTTCCCGCAGCCTGGCCCAGTTTACCAGGACTCCCGTTGCTTGCCGAGGCCCTCGCTTGCGCGGTCTCCCAGCTTCTGAACTGGGTGGAGGAGACTTGCTTTTTCCCTGTTTGGCAGAGCCAGGTAGTTGTCTGAGTTGGCCGGAGGGAACCCTGTAAAGCTAGAGTCCCTCAACATCACCCTAACAATAGACATCAGAGGAACGGCGAGGTCCGTTAATGGCGTGTGTGCAAATTGAAGGTTTAAAAACATAAAGTTGAAGTAAATGTTGGCGTCTGAAACGGTGTTAGCTTCTACTTTTGTAAGTTGCCAAAGTTTTCATTTCATTTGTATCAAAGCATTTAACTTCTCACGTTACATAATGAAGGCTTAAAGAAAATAGTGTCCCTGGGCTTAAAATAAATGGTGCCTTCTCAGTCTCCCTTCCCAGTGGGTGTCAGATGGGGGAGGGGGCTGCAAATTTAATTCTCTGCAGGGGCACTGGCCTGTCGGTCCCTCCAAGTGAGCGGTTTCCCTGCAAGGTTGGGGCTGTTTAAACTTCGGGCTGCTCATGAATCGCGAGGTAGGCGCAGAGTCGAGGAGGAGAGGAGGCAGCCCCTTCTGCGTGGCTGCGGGCTGTATAACACAATTTTCAGGCACCCCCGAATTATCCTCACTTCCAAAGAAGAGACCAGGACTAAATGCCCGCCAACTGTGCAGGAGGAAAGCAGCACGCATGTTTTCTTGTAACTTTTCTTGTAGTTCGGAAAGAAAGCTTATTTCTCTGAAATGGGCCCCAGAGGCCTTTCAGATCGCCTACTATCCAGAGAAATCAGCCCCCATTTTGTTCCCGGGGATGCCCGGGAAGCGATGAGAGATTTACAAGGTGTCCTTTCAAAAAGAATTCCCAGCAGAGAGGAGGCCTAAATGTCGTCTTTACAATTACTACCAAAATACATTGAAAAACGCAAACTACATTTTGCAAAGAGTAAGCAAAAACGAATCTGGCCACAGAAATCGTTTCTGTGTGGTCTCAGTCACCTAAGGAATTAGTCAAAGAAATGTGCTCTTTACAACTTTCTAAGAGGCTGGCGTTCCTCTTCACTAACATAGTAACTGGACGAAATTTCATGGAGGATGGTAATTTTTATCAAAATTTTGAATACAGATGTGAGCCATTTGGGAACTCTGCCTGTGTGCCTGTGGGGGAGGGGGCTTGTGGGGAGGGCCTTGTGCATTGTGGTTCAGTGGGAAAGGGCAAGCTAGTTTTTGGGGGTTTTTTTCCCCGGTTGATGTTGTTGTTTGTTTGTTTTACTAAGGGAATGATAAGTTTGAGTGCTTCCCCCCAAAGTGTGTGCTTTACCTCCAGGTCTCCTGCCGATTTCTGGAAAGTAAGCCCAAAGTCAAACTCCATTCTAGGCCTGGGTTTCCAAGCCATTAGGATTGGGTATTTGGAAGTCAAAAGATAAAATTGTGAGCAAACGTCTGTCTGGGCAATTTATGGTAATAATGAGGCCTAATGAGGTTGTTAGAAAGATAAAGTGTTATTTACCAAAAAACCTGATGCGATAATTTGACTCGCTGTGTTTTACTACTGATGATAAAAAGAATATTGATTGCAAATAAATCACCGCCTCCGAATGCCTTGCAAACAGTTTGTGTTTGCTTGCTCCAGATCAAAGTCAAACTTAAGAGATAAAGTAACCGAGAAGAGGCCCAGGAAACTGAACCGGTTCCCTTCTTGCAGCCACTGGCTCCAGGCCCCAGCGTTAATATTTTACTGGATAAGCCCTCCTTTTGTATTTAAAAAAACAAAACAAAAACAAATGGTGTTTTGTTATTGTTGTGATGATGGCCAGGATTAAAATTTTAAATTACCTGTCACCACTGCAGACCTCTAAGTGTGAGGGGATCATTTATGCAGATTAATTTGGGAGGTGAAGGGAGTGTGCTTTCATTTTAAACTGCGGGTGAATTTAGACCTGAAGAAAACCCATGGTGGTTTATTTTAATTGATCCCTTCAGGGAGGAAAGTGGGGTTGCTGGGGCTTGAGTTCTGGGTCCTTTGCATTTGGAGGAACTGTTTCATGAGCCTAGTTAAAAGGTTTTCTTCTCTAGCTAGCATAAGATAAACTTGGAGATCAGGGTTTCACGAGTTGTTGGGGGACTGGGAGGGGGCCTAGGGAAATTCAAGGGAGCTGTGACTCTCTAGCTGCATTCTTCTAGAAATGCACGGTTTCTAGAAGTTTTTCTAGAGTGACAAAACCGGATCTCTGTGATGGAAAGCACAGCTCCAGGACCTGAGAGCCCGCTCCTTCCCCGGGAGTGGATTGGGCCTTCTTGCGTGGGAGCATACCCGGCCCCGCAAAAGTCCAGTGGATCCGGGATCCTAGGAGGCCCTGGGGCTGACCAGAGTGGCTGCTCCGACTTTCCCGGCTTAGGGGACTCACCTCTCACTCCCTGTCTTTCTCTTTCTCTCTCCACCTCCTTCCTTTCTCTCTGCTTTCGCTCTGCCCTGGCTGTAGGGCTCGCAGTATGAACTCAAGGACAACCCTGGGGTGCACCCCGCCACCTTCGCAGCCCACACAGCACCAGCCTATTACCCCTACGGCCAGTTCCAATATGGGGACCCCGGGCGGCCCAAGAACGCCACGCGCGAGAGCACCAGCACGCTCAAGGCCTGGCTGAACGAGCACCGCAAGAACCCGTACCCCACCAAGGGCGAGAAGATCATGCTGGCCATCATCACCAAGATGACCCTCACGCAGGTCTCCACCTGGTTCGCCAACGCGCGCCGGCGCCTCAAGAAGGAGAACAAGGTTACGTGGGGTGCGCGCAGCAAGGACCAGGAGGACGGTACCCTCTTTGGTAGCGACACTGAGGGTGACCCCGAGAAAGCCGAGGACGATGAAGAGATAGACCTGGAGAGCATTGACATTGACAAGATTGACGAACATGACGGCGACCAGAGCAACGAGGACGAGGAGGACAAGGCAGAGGCGCCTCGAGCGCCCGCCGCTCCTGCTGCGCTCGCTCGGGATCAGGGCTCGCCGCTAGCAGCTGCCGACATGCTCAAGCCCCCAGACTCGCCCTTGGGTCTGGCCAAGGATGTCCCAGAACCTGGAAGCACTCGCCTTCTGAGCCCTGGCGCCGCGGCAGTCGGCCTGCAGGGCGCGCCTCACAGCAAGCCCAAGATCTGGTCGCTGGCTGAGACAGCCACCAGCCCCGACGGCGCGCCCAAGGCGTCTCCGCCGCCGCCCACGGGCCATCCGGGTGCCCATGGGCCTCCCACCGGTGCGCCGCTGCAACACCCCGCTTTTCTGCCTAGCCACGGACTGTACACCTGCCACATCGGCAAGTTCTCCAACTGGACCAATGGTGCGTTCCTCGCACAGGGCTCGCTGCTGAACATGCGTTCCTTCCTGGGCGTCGGAGCGCCCCACGCCGCGCCCCATGGGCCGCACCTGCCAGCGCCACCACCGCCACAGCCACCCGTCACTGTTGCCACCGGGGCGCTCCACGTCGACAAGGCCTCGGCCCGTAGCAGCCCTGCGCTCCCAGGTACCTGCGCCTTGTCCACCCAAACGGAGGCTAGGAAAACACAGATCTGGGAGGGGTGGGGTAAGCTTAAGGCCGGGCGAGCTAGGCCACGGCCCTAGGGCTCTCGGAACCGGCTGTGTTGTACCCCTAGACCAGCTCCTGCTAGGGGGAGGGGAGGAAGTTTCCCCCGCCAACCTGCCGGAGCAGAGGGAAGGAATGCGTGGGGAGGGAGCCTCCTTCGCTGCCGCCCCGCCCCCTCCCGGGTCTCCCTACCCTAACCTTCTGCCTCTTCCCGTCCCCGCAGAGAGAGACCTCATTCCTAGGCCGGATTCGCCCGCACAACCGTTAAAATCGCCCTTCCAGCCGGTACGAGAAAAGTGAGTGCTGTTCGCTTTTGCCCAGGGACCGGGTGGAGCTGGGGGCTTGTCTAGGTCGGGACAGAGCGGGCGGGTAGGCTGTGGGGGTCGTGCAGCCATTATTGTAGGTGCTATCCGCCAAGCCGGCACCGGACCAGCAGAGCGGATTCGAGTTTCTCAGGAGCCGGGAGCCGGCGCGGGCTGCAGCCCCCACACTGAGTTCTGCTGGTAGAAGTGGCGACTCGGTGTCGCAGCGTCCATCCACTGACATTACTCGTGTCTTCTTGTTTTGCTGTGTTTCCCATGCAGCTCGCTGGCCCCGCAGGAGGGAACGCCGCGGATCCTAGCAGCGCTCCCGTCTGCCTGATTAAGGATCTTCTTTTACTTTTGCGGGGGGAGGGGGGAGGAGTTGGGAGGGAGGAGATGAGGGAGGAATTAAGACAAATATTTCAGACTGGTGTAAAGGACAAATATGACAACGACGTCAACGACTCTCATCCATCGCTTTCCTGCAGAAAGGGGCTCGTCCACCCTGAGCTCGCGACCCGGTGGCCAGGCCTCTGCCTGCGGCTCCCGTGGCTGTCACCACGCTCGGGTTGATTATCCGATTCGGTAAATGACCCCACCTGCTTGTGTCTTCTTTTTCTTTGTTTGTTTCTTTCTTTCTTTCTTTCTTTCTGTATATAGAGTGATTTCAGATTGTAAATAGCGCGTCAGCGAACTTGTCTAAATCATATATTTTTGTCTAATAAACTAAATGAAATGAAGCCCGATGCTCCTGCTGCAGTGTGTGGCTGTGCATAGCCTGTGTGGGAGGGGTGCACCAGGATCCTGGAATCCTGGGCAGGGCTCAAAGGCCTGTGGCTGGCGGAGAGCGACTCCTGGGGGAGGGCCTGCAGAGAGTTTCCACTCTGCAAGCCGGTGTTTCAAACAGGCATTTGCTTGTGGTGGTGGTGGCTGAGTTTGTTAATTTTGTCACTAGAACAGTTTCTCGTTGGCAGGTCCATTCTTTTCAACGCTTATTCAAACATTTATCTGGGGCACATTTTTCTTGGGAAAAAAATGAGTTCAATTTTACACAGTTTATAAAGTGATTTTTAAGCAGGCAGAAATGGGGGTAAATTAAAAGAATTTCGAAACACCCCCCCCCCCAAAGGAGAAATTTGGATTCAAAATCAGTTCGTAAGTAGTCTGAACAGTGCCTCTTGGTGTAGGGTTGTCTTCTGGGTGAAATACGAAAATAATCCAGTACGAAATACCTCTCCGAATTATTTTTAATTTTTTTTAAAAAAATAATTATTTGGTTAAACGTAACCTGGAAATTTTGAAGATTCTTTTAAATTCTCCAGAGAGACGTGCTGGAAGCACTGCGGTTCCGGGGTTCTCTAGGAGAAGGAGTGAGCCAGATGTGGCTGTGGTAAAAGTCGAGGAAGAGGGGAGGGGTCTGGTCGCCAAGGACGCCCCTTGAACCTCCGTGCCACCGCCTGCGTCTTTTTTGCCCTGTAGCGCGCGCGCCACCGAGTGAGCCAAGAACAAATAATCCGCCAGATGCCCGGGGCCCGGCAGGGGAGGAGGCAGCTGGGAGAGACGACAGGAAACAATGCACGAAGGAGCTGGCCAGGGACGCGCGCGAGTGGAAAAGTATCCTAAATGCGGCACTTAAGTCTGCAGGTCTGGCCCCCGTGCGTTCGCCCGAACGGTGGCTCTGGGAACCCTGCGCAGGGGCTCTTGGGACGCCGGCGACTTGAGTTTGCAAACACTGAGAAAGCAAATATTTCAAAACCCGCCAGCAAGGATGTGCACCTTGGAGAAACCCGCTTAGTGGGGAGAAGTGCAGGTCCCACCCCGTCCACCTATACCCTGAGCCTGTGCCTCCCTTTCCCGTGCCCCTTCGGGCCCCGCAGCTCCCAGGCTGCGCTTAGTGAAGGTTGCGGGCCAACTACGGCGGGAAAGTCGGGCGGGATGTCTTTGCCCACGGTTCCTCTGCTGCTGAGGCTCCGGCAGCTCTCCCCATCCCGAGCAGACACCTCCTACGCGCGCCTGCGTTTTCCCCAGCGCTTCTCCTCACTTGCCGGTCCTTTCCGGCAGAGGATAGGGTCTGGGCCCCTAGGCGGGAAGAAAAGCCTCGGGGAGGAGACGAGAAAGCCGCTGCACGAGAAGTGGCCTGACTGTGGGGGTGCGCGTCAGTGATCGGTGGGGAGGGGTGGGACGGCGCCCCAAGAAGAGCTGGGCCTCGCTCCCCAGTGGACCGCGCGGCCGGCGGGCTCGGGCTGTGGCCACCTTAGAGCAGTTTCTGAATGGACGTGCTCGAGGCGCCCTCTATGGTCGGAAAGCGGAATGGGGCTCTGACCTGTCAGATGATGTCGTTCTGGGGCGTGGCACCAATCTGGGGGTGCTGGGCGTTGGGGCTCCGTGAGCACTGGGTTTGCCGCCATAGTATTTGTTCTGTGTTTCTGGGGTCACTCGTGTGTGTGTGTGTGTGTGTGTGTGTGTGTGTGTGTGTATTGGGGGTGCGGTGTTGGGGCTTGCTGGATAGTCACCTGGCCGTTCCAGAGAGTGGGAAATATGAAAATATGCTGTGTATTTTCATTATCCGCGTGGGGCTTGCTGAGTCAGAGGGCTTTTTTTTTGGTCCATCTTCTGCCCTGGGCTTCAAGGAGCCTCACAGTCCCCCAGAGGTCCTGGAACGTGCCTCTGACCCCACCCTGAATGCTGAGGTCTAATGTGTCCTCTGTCCTTGGAGAGACTGTGCTTCTAAAGAGCCTTACTAACCCCCTGACCTAAGCATTGGATGAGGAATGGAATTTTCAGCCACACAGGTTTACTTCTCAGGCATATAAACCACTGGAAGATCCCTTCTGGGTGACTCTGAAGTTAGCAGGCAGATCCAGGTGGACCTCTGGGCTGCCACCAGGCTCAGCATTTTTCTTTCCCCAAATCACATCATCAGATGGTCCATCCATCCATATGTCTGCTGAGGCACACCCAGTACTTCCATTCTTCTTTTTTTTTTTTTAATTTTTATTCTATGCAGACATTTGAAACCTTGCTGGTTGCTACAGAAGAGACTGGGACATCATGTGGCCACTGGAGGAGTTCAGGCCATGGGTTATAGTGGTCTAGAAGTTATGAAGGTTCTGTGGGTGTTTCTGAGAGTCAAGTTTCCCATGCAAAGAAATCAGACTGCTAGACTCAGAATTATTTTTCTCAAATGAAAAGCAAGAAATGAATTTTTAATCAAGCCCTGAACGGCATTTTTCTCTTTGGTGAGCAATTTGTTTACACCTTTATTCAGCACCGCATCTATACAGGTGTGTGGGGTGGGCTAGGAAGCACCCCAGGTGCCCAGTGTTCCATCCCCTGAAAAGTCTGGAGTGGACATAGAAATGCAGAGGTCACCTTTGCCTCTGCAGTGTCTACTGAGCAAAGGAGCTCCCTACCATGCGCCAACCCCACAAGGACAGGAGGGAATGGCAGCAGCTCAGTCACTGTCAGGGAGGAGACTTATGCCCAAGGGCGAAAGGCAGAGCCTTGTCGAGGGGCCTGGTGTTCTAAATGTAGGTTCCTCTTCTGGGGAACAGGTTTCTTGTGACAGGACACCATGTCCAGAACAGAGAACTTTCTTTCGGGGGAGCACAACTGGAAGTGTGTTGTGGAGGGAGGTCAAGAATCCCGGGCAGCAGGGATGCTTCTCCAGCCCAGCCCAGACCTGCTCCGGAGACAGGCAGAGCACCAGCCCAGCCCTCTGAGCTCAGCTGGACCCGAAGAGCCAGGGAGTGGGCCTGCCCCAAGGGCTGACCTGCCAGCAGTCTCAGGTCTCCCAGCTCCAGCACACTGCCCTTCCTTCTCTGAACAATGATATTCACCAGCACATTTATCTCACCTGAAAAATGGAGAATTCACACTTACATCTCAGTGACACTGATGAGTGCAGCACACACCTTGGCCCCGAGGGATGCCACCTGATGAATCATGTCCTGTGACATTTCAATCCTCCTTGTAGATAGAACTCTTGCAAAGAGACGAAGGGCGGGAGGAGAGGGGAGGGAGGTAGTTAGGAGACAGAGGACTGGGCAACTAGAGTACCGTGGCGTCTTTGGGCCAGCTTCCTCGGAGGACAGGAGGCTGCCCTGGCTGCTCAGCCCTGGTCAAACTGCCCAGACCTTGCCTGAGCTGAGATGCTCATTCAGTCCCCCACTGCCCTTCTTCCTTTCTTGAGGGTGCAAGCAGGCAGCTCATCTTACCTAGGAAGGTGGGATATGCCATAGGGCTTCCTGGTAGACACTGGGGTTTGTGGACATGATTGAGGAAGTTGGGAATCTGAAATGTGCTTCTGAAAGCTCTGGACCTGGTTTGCCTGTACTACTGCAAGTGAAGAGTGGACAAGGAGGGGAGTAAGTCATGCCCAGAGGGTCACTTGCAGGGCTGGGGAGGGGGTCAGCAGGCATGGAGATCTGGGGCCCATGGGTACTTACAAGGCCAGACCAAACTCCAGCTATCTCTGATCCCATCGTAGAACACAGCACTGTGAACTAAGTCAGCCAGGCTCTGGAACCTCCTGGGATGGAGGGGAAGCTTTGGAGTGCCCCACACTGAGACTGAGTATGCACTGGTGGCCAGCAACTATTGTGGCCTATGGAGGCAAGAAAGTGGGTCCAGGTGTGGAGGGCTCTCGTGGGAAGCATTGGCCCTGGTGCAGAACCTGGGAAGGAAGAAGAGGTAGAGCGGAGCCACCTTCTGCAAGTGGAGACAGAGCCCACCCACCTCGAGGGGTCTGAACTCCATAGGTGGGTTTGGGCATAAGGAGGTAACTGGAGGGAGAAAGGCCCATCCCCAAGGAGCCCTGTGGCCCATGGCCACCTGAGAACTTTCTAGGCTAAGGCTGACCAGCCCAGTGCAGGCGTCCACTTAAAGCCCCATTCTGCTGGGGAAGGAGTGTGCAGGCCTCAAGAGCACCCTGCTGGGCTGACTGCTCTAATTATGGCTCCAGAGCTGAAAGGCCTTCAAAGGTCATCCTCTGGGGGCTGCTGGCAGCCTTTGTGCCCCATGGACTGGTGGCTGGTCGCAGATCTCCTGCCCTAGCAGGATAAAAGTGTCTGAAGGGAGCCCACTCCAGAGGGACCATGTGCCTGAGGAGGCTGGGTCCCTGGTCAGCATGGCACTCACTCAGTCACCTGCCTTTAGGGACCTACAGATATGTGTGTTTTTTGTTTTTTTTTTTCCCAATAAAAAGGCAAATTTTAGATCCAAGAAAATGTGTTAATGTACATTAGCATTTGTCTTTATATCAAAACAGTCATAAAATATGGTTCTTTATTTTCAGTGGAGGACTCCCTGGAGCCCAGAAGTTCCCCAGGTGAAGCAGGT